TGTGCTGAACACAGTGCTAAAAATGTGGCATGTCTTGTAAGGCAGAGATAAAGCATCCGTCAATTCTACCTTACCTCCAATTATACAGTTACTGAGAGAATTAACACTGGAACTATTGAAATCCTCATGTAACTCAATCCTCATCAGCCCACCCCACCCATAGAAAAATATGTGCAAAATGTGCAAAAATGAAGGTAGGACCTGTGACTCAATATTTAATGAATTATTTTATTTGGGATTGATTTCCTATGAAAGTGTGAGACTTGATCCTCAGAAATAGCATCACTCTGGATAAAGTTACAAGTCCCAATTTGAAAAATTTCCATAGCCCATGATCTGTGCTCCTTTTTAGGGACACCCACTGACAAGGATGATGGGAGCACAGAAGGAAGCCAGACGGCCACTGTCAAACAAATCCCTTGAAGTAAGTATAGATGAGATTAACACGTGTGAATTTGGAGGGTAGATAATGCTAAAATTCAAGAGGCAGGCTGTGTATCAAATTATCAAACATGGACAGCCTTTAACCTAGAAATCCATTTTCAAGGACTTCTTCTAATCAATAAAATCTTGAGTATGAATATATTTACATGCAAAAACATCATAAGGGCAAAATAACCACCAAAGAAAGTGGATTTATAGAAATCAGATACTAAAAGATACTACTCTGCCTCTTAAAAATATTATAAGGTGAGTGGTGGGGAGGTGACTGTTCAGCTGAAGTGTTCAGCAAGAAAGCATGAGGGCCATAGCTCAGCATCTGTGTAAATGTGCATGATCACCTGTCTTTAGTCCCAGGACTAAGGATTCCCAGATCAGGCTGGTTATCAAAACTAGTTATATTAATGTACTCTAGGTTCACTGAGAACCCCTGCCTTAATATTTATATATGGTAGAGAACAGCGGAAGAAGATATCAGATGTCAACCTCTGGCCTTGAAACACACACACACACACACACACACAATGTGTTAGGGAATGATGAAGTAGGTCTAGGTTTAGAACTAGGTAAGGAAATCTTTTTCAACATATTACTAATTTAAAAAGTGCGTCACACAACCATACTTGTGTGAAACAGACTGCACAAAGTGATCCTAAAACTTGTTGACAAAGCCTCGGCATCACCTCCTTTCTTAGTTGAGCTTAACTGCATTGTTTCAGTTCCTTGGTAGCATGTAGTACGTACAGGTGATGTCTTCTACAAGCTAGTAACTCTGATAAAAATAGCAAACATTATTTATGTCCAAATTCAGTGACACCTATCTAACTTGACTACAAATATATTAAAGGAAAAGACAATTGACATCATGTTCTGTAAAACCACATGAACTTGCATTAATAAGATGAGCGTCAGAACATGAAACAGAAATTTTGCCTATTCAATTCCATATTATGTATTAAAAATACATATTTTTTAAATTCCCTACAATTATGAGTTTCTAAGAAAACTTTCATTTAAGAAACCTGTGCCTTCAGCACACTAAGTTCAAAAGGTCTTTCCGTGGTTTTTTCCCATCAAATCACTCTTGTTCTCTGGCTGGCTGTGAGAGTGTGCAGTTGCCTTTAACAGACTCTGCATGGCTTAGCACCTTCTCTTAGAATGGAGCTTTGGGGGGGGGGGCATGGAAATAAATTCTCGGAAAGATGCCAAGCTACTTTTATACAAGGTTATTGTGGGGTCTCTCTGAAACCCAGCAGGAATGAAATAACATTAAAACGTGGGCAAAATGCTAAAATGGCCACATAAGAGATGGTTATTGTCAAGTTTAGTCAAAACAAAAGTCTTCAAGACGGCACAAAAGGAGATAGAGGTGGAGCCAATGGGCTACATTCTGGATCATCTGGCACGTGTTTCAAACAAAAGATGAAGGAATTTAAGAAAGTTATGAAGAAAACCAGATTCCTCAAAGCAATGATAGTCATGGGAAGAGCTACGGATCTGGGAGAACTATTTCAGCAAAGAGAACTAGAGGCAGGGCATTGCTGCGAAGAGAATTGCAGCCAGTCACTACTAAGGCATCCTGGGAAAGGCACAGTGCTGCATTCTGACCCTGAATTCTCTTAGACGCACACTTAGGAAAGTGAAGCCAGGAATCCGCCCAGCATCGCAACCCCCACATTTCGACCTCAGCATTTCTCAAAACCTTCCGTCTTCAGATCTTTTTACAGTCTTATAAATCATTGTAGAATCAAAATGGCTTTCTTTTGTATTCAATAAAATATATACATAAATATAAATAGTGGAGACAAATTTGCATTCATCTATGTATAAATGCATCACATTGCACATTTAAAATACTACAGCATACACTCCTGTAACCGCTAGAGCAATGACATCATCAGCTATCGGGTACCTCTAGAAAGCTTTTTCCCCACAGAGCTGTGGAAGAACTGACAGGAAAACTGCTCTTGACATCTCCGACTCCCTGAAGATTTCAGGCTCCCAGAGACTGAGCTCACAATATGAGAACTATTTTGGCCTCGAGTCTGTGCTTTATTTTCTGAGATCAAACCGAAACATCGGTGAACAACGTCCATCCTCTGGCTTCAAGCTGTGTAGCCCATCTGGGTTCCCATAAGAACTCCCAAACTGATCGGCCCCTGTAAGTTAACAGTGCACACCGAGCTTCACTGGCGCTCTGGTTGTGTCTTCTGGCTGGTGCTAACTCTTTTTCGTCGAGATTGCCATGCTAGCTTGTAGGGCACCCCGCCCCCCAACTCCTGTTCAAAGCCCAGTTCACCTTTCCATCCCTCTCGTCTTTCATTTTCAATTCTGTGATGGGTATCTCCCTAACAATGCATCTGAGAGTAAGACCTAGGCTTGCCCTAGACAACAGTCTCCCTGAGTTTTCAGGGGTTGGGGAAAAGGAATGACAGTTTACTAATCTTTCCTTCATTTTTTTACACCTGATACGTCTTCAAAGCATGTTATTTGCTTTGTCCAACTACTCTGAAATAGTAACTTGTTAATGACTGTAGGAATACAATTTTCTCTGTACTTCTCTAGAATATATTCCTAAAATGTAATTGTTAAAGTGGTTTTGTTTTTGCCAGCTTAGTAGCTAAGAAAGGCTGTTGATTCAATTCACAGACCTGTGTGCTTCAAAGTTATTTTTTAGTTATTTATGATGTAAGGCATAGCAACAAATAGAGATGTGCTTGACTCCACAGGGATGTTTCCTGAATCTTCTGTCACACAGGCGGGCATATCCCTTTGTCTCTATAGCATGCCTGTGTAACCTTGGTTTTATTTTCAACTCCCAAGTGGAAGTTTCCAGGATGCTGCCAGCTGAACGCCCCACGGAATGTGGCTCATCTTATAGCTAGACAACACAGGACCTTAAAGATCTACACACAAACATGGCATTTCCACTTTGCAGATCTCAATTAGCAGAATGTTCTCTAGGAAACAAATGCAGCCAGCTCTCAGCTGCCACCAGGGAGCCAAATTAACCAGTTGCCTTCATGAAGTTCAGTAAAACATTTGTGGGGGAATGTTGCTGTGCAGATGGAATTGGCTCGGAAATGTTTTATCAAGGATTTGTATCTCCCAGAATAACCAGAAAACAGAGTGTTTGAAGTGGCGACATGACACGATGCTCATTATTAACAAAGTGCTTTCCCTGTCTCTGAGCCAGAGCAGAAGCCTCCCCAGCCTTTGGAAGCAAGAATGGGTTGGAGTTATTGTTTAATTGTTCACAAGCTGGAGATCTGTTTCCTGACCCACTCCCACTCTGTCGTTTCCACGGGGCCTGAGGTGAGCATGGCAGGAGACTAAATGCCAGTGATGCCTAGAAACCAGATTTACAACCGACCCCTCTACCTGCTTCTCTGGCTGGAAGAAGTCTCTGTCCTCCAGGAAGGGCCAGGATCTGTGTGGCCTCAAGCTCCGGAGGAGCTAAGCTTCATTGAGATTCAGGTAGCGATCTCATAAGCAAAGGCTGCAGTGTCATTAAAGTGGAGGGAGACAAACAACACCCGTGCTGCATACCAAGTGGAATCCCATTTAACTGAATCATTTCCTTATGAATATATTCCAGGCTGCCACTTTGAGCCACTGGTGTAAAATATGCTGGGGGAAAATGGATCTCTGCTAATTACATTTCATGCATATTTCAGAACTTTCCATGAGGATGCAAGAGGGTGGGGATCTTAACAGGAAATTCTATAACTACGTTCACCTGCATTTCGGCTCAATGCCTGAACTAGAGGTTAATGAAGATGGGTATGATTATGTTCTAGGTTGTGCTGGCTTTAACCCAAATATTGTGATGCTTTTGTGACAGGCAGACAATGACATTCCCCTTGGAATCCACCTACAAGCACACATACTGCAGAAGAGTATGTGGTGTTCAACCGCTTCCTGCCTATGTGCTGTTTATTAGATTCACCATTATATTTTTAATTTTATTTTTGAAAATATAATATAATTATACCATTTCTCCCTTCCCTTTCCTTCCTCCAAACCCTTCCAGAAAGTCCTCTCTGGCAATTAATGGCCTTTTTATCATTAATTATTGTTATGTAAATATATTTATCAAAATACATATATTCCTAAATATGTCCTGCTCTGTCTATCTAATGTGACTGGTATGTATGGTTTTGACAATGACAATTTGATAGTAGGTGACCAAATAATGTGCTCTTCCCTGGGGAAAACCATTTCTCCACTCTCGGCATTCCTTAGTGGCCTTTCGCTTTTTGTCTATGGCCTTGCACTCTCCCCTCATCCACTTTGATGTGGTCATTTTTGCTGTCTTCATTTTGTTCATGATGGAAGAACCTACATTTGCCACTTTACTAAAGCAAATAATCCCTAACTATACTCTAAATATTTGTCCTTATACCCATCCCTCAGTGCAGTGCATGCTCTTCATCAGGGAAACTTCTCTGCAACAGAAGGTAGCCATCACCTTTGGTTTTATGTTAGGTCAAATTGAGGAAGGAACCACTGACCTTGGAGGCTATGTCAAGACAATGCAGACAATAAAGCGCCTTTACCTGCTTCAGGAGGGAATGGTAAAGGACACAGGTGACCCCTTTGGCATGGCTCTTCACCCTCTTGCTGGTTTCCTTTTTCATGGCCAACAAGGCAAGCTGGTTATTGAAGGAGATGAAAAGTCGTCCGTGGCTTTCATCAAAGTGGAAAAGGCACCTGTAGTCTTGACCTTTAGGGAAAGCACAAGCTATCCTTTGAATGGACAGCTGGTGTTGAATATCCCAGAGTCTCAGGACCTGGGCAACAAGTGATAAAAAGGGAACATCAATTAACATATTCCTACAGTGTCTTTCCTTCTCTCTCTTGACTATAAAGACAACTTAGATTTTCTAAACACTACCTATTCTTAAGCCATTTTCTCAGACAATTAAATCATAAATCTTTGAAGACAGGCTCAGAGATTATTATATTAAAAATAAATTTTCTAGGTCTTTCGTTTGTTCCAAGGTGAATAGTTCTCTGAGGTTTTATGACCCGGTCAGTGCTAATCTTTGTGAACAAGAAATCTTTCTACCAGCTTAAGAACTAATATCACATGATTTGGCTTTAATCCAGATCATGACTATCCACTAATTTTGTCCTCAGTCTAGATCCAGTTAGTGACACAAAAGAACTCCTATTAATTCAGTTCCCTCAATCAAGTCATTTTCAAAGATGTTGCTCAATGGCACAGTTATTACATGAGGGTCATAAATTTCTCCCTTCTTTTGTGTTCAGTTAACTTCTAAAATAGAACTATGACACAGTTCAAAATGAATATGCTAGGGACGGAAGAGATAACTCAGCTAGGAAAGGGCTTGTCATGTGTGCTGCTTAGATTTTTGTGATCTTGACACAAATTGGAGTCATCTAGGAAGAGGAAATCTCAGTTGAAAAAACGTGTCCTTCAGACTGACCTTTAGACAAGTCTACAGAACAATTTTTTATTGATGTATGGAGAGGCACTCAGCCTATTGTGCATAGTGCCACATTTAGGCAAGGGGTCTTGGGTTTTATGAAAGGAAGAAAGGAAGGAAGGAAGAAAGGAAAGAAGGAAGGAAGGAAGGAAGGAAGGAAGGAAGGAAGGAAAAAAGGAAGGAAAAAAGGAAGGAAAAAAGGAAGGAAAAAAGGAAGGAAGCCAGTAAGCAGCACTCTCCCCAGTCTCTGATTCAGTTCCTAACTCAAGACTACTGCTTGGGTTCCTTCCCCACATGCCTTCACTTATATAAGAAATGAAAACCAAGTAAACCGTTCCCTACTCAAGTTACATCAAGCCATAGTGTTTATCACAGCAATATAAAACAAACTAGAACACAGTTCATAAATGACAACTTGCATCCATGTGCAGTTTATATCTATATTCCCAGCGCTTTGAGAGGTAGAGACAGGAGGATTCAAGAAATCAGCTAGCCAATCAGGCTAGGCAACGGGTGACCACCAAGTTCAGTGGAGACTGTCTCAAAAAATAAAGTGGAAAATTACAGAAATACATCTGACCTTAGCCTTCAGCCTCCACACGCACATGTATGCACACATACACTCTCACTTACACATGATGTTGCATTCCCCTCTGCATGCTGTGAATATCATTGGTTAATAAAGGAACTGCTTTGGGCCTATAGCAGAGCTATAAGGGAACAAAGCTAGGTGAGAAAAACTAAACTGAATCCTGGGAGAAAGAAGGCAGAGTCAGGGAGAAGGCATGTAGCCCCTGCAGAGCTGGACGGAATTTTAGCTGGTAAGCCACAGCCACATGGTGATACATAGATTAATAGAAATGGGTAAATTAAAATGTAAGAATTAATCAATAAGAAGCCAGAGCTTATGGGCCAAGCAGTGTTTTAAATAATATAGTTTCTGTGTGATTATTTCAGAGCTAAGCAGCCGGGAACTAACTAGCAGCCTCCTAGTAAGTTATGTACATGCAGTGTACACATGTACCCAGTGTGTATATATTTATATTTAGTTTTTTGTTTTGTTTGAGACGGGATCTTATGTAGTCTATGCTTGCCTGCAGCTTGATATGTACCTGCAGATGATCTGAAAACTTTTATTCCTCCTGCTTCTCTCTCCCAGGTGCTAGGAATAGACATCTGCACCAACACATTCAGTAAAACATGAATATATTTAATAGTAATCTTCTTGTTTTTCAATTATGTTTTCTTTTTGTTACTAAGGATAATAGATAAATTCCTAAAATTCATATTTAACAATTGGTTCAGTAATTTAAATTTTTACCCACATGTGCTGTTCCTACTTACATTTTGATGCCTAGCAACTTATAGTGCCCATACAAATTCCCGTTAGTCAGGTTCTTGTTATGATTAGTCAGGGCCTGTGTGGGGCTCTTCATTTCACCTCCACCTTTATAGAATTGAGATTATAGGTCCCAACCATTGATTTTTTTATTAAAGCAAATTGTTTTCACATAATGATAAAGATAGACTTCCTCACCTCATTTTATGCCGACTGTCAACTTTTTAATAATGTGCGATTACAATGACCAGCGTGTTTATGTGTGTGAGAAGTAGAAGCCAATACATTGAGACTGCAGGTACATGGATGCTACTTTAATCCAACTCAGGTCCATGATCTTGCATGTGTTGACTTTATCCACCCATTCCCTCACCTTCCTATGAAAACACGGCTGCCAACTCAGAAATTATTTCAGTTGTGTGGGGAGAATGTAGTAAAATTGCTCAACCCATTATCTAAATCATCCCAGATCACAACTGAAAGTGTGCTGCGTGGACTGGATTAAGATGTAGGCCAGCACTCTGTAGTCAGGCTTTTTAGAAGAATCTTGCCAGAGCTTGGCAAAATTGCTATTATTTATATAGACGCTAATAAAACTACAACAACCAATGGTTTCACTGTTTACTGCAAACATTACATTTATAATAAGTAGCTGCATGAATAGGGAGGTACAGGAATAAATGTGTGGACAGAGATTGTTTTCAGTGAACTTTTGAAAGCCGAGTCAGCACCAGATAAGATTTAATTCAAGGTACATGGCTTTAAAAGGTTCATAATTTCCAAATAATGACAGAAAAGTGAAGGAGGGAGAGAAAGCTGACTCAAATTATTATGTGTGGGGAGGTTTTCTAGTGTTCAAAACAGTACAGAAAAACAGAAAAAGAGAGAGGAGGCATGAGGATGTGGCTGGCTAGGGGGCTTTGAAGACTGCAGTGCAGAGGCCTCGCATTTGGAAGCCAGTTCCAAGCTACATGGCTTAAGTGTAAAAATAAGAAGACAGGCACTGTAGGTGCTGGATTTTCTCAGTACAACCTCATAGAACAGCTCCATTTATAGGTAAGTCTTACAGTAATAAGCAAAACCATAATCAATAAACGCTTAAAGTGTGTTTTGTTTAACTGGATATAGTCTCACAAGAATGTTTATGTGGAATACATCAGCTACAGGTTTTATCGTAAATCAAGTCACAGTTGTTTGTCCTCCCAGAGGAGCAGTTAAAAGTTGTAGGGGGAGAGGATGTCATATTGGTGTAGGTACTGGTTCACTGCCCCATCAAGCAAATAACCTACACAGACAGACAGACAGATAGGCAGACACACACACACACACACACACAAACACAAACACACACAGACATACAATTAGAAAGAGAACTTGGGATGAAGAAGGGATTTTGTGTGAGAGGATGAGGATAAATGGGATAATGGATGGGAGGGTTTTTAGTCAAAGAAATTATGTCTATGAATTTATATATAAAAGAATAAATAAACATCTAAAAAGAAAAAACTACACTTTGCAATTCTTTCCCTAGGAACAAGAGCACCATTTTCCAACTAAGTCAAGTTCATTGACATCAATTTTACATGTTACTATGACTGTTATTCTCATTCTCTCTTACATATTTCCCCAATTCTTTTAAATATAAATGAAAAGGGGAACATCTACAGCTGATAAACACTTTAAGCAAAGTAAGTGGATACAAATTTCAGATACCCATTAGAATCAGTAGCCCCTCTCCTTATTACCATATCCTGGCCCAAACTTCCAAGCAAACTCTCCTAACCCACCAGAGGTCAGGCAAGCTTCCTGAATCCATGGTAAGACTGCCCTTCCCTTTGCCTGCCCATGCTCACCCACTATAATCATAACCACCCCTCCTCTCCTCATCACCGTGTCCCAGCCAATACCTCTAGCAGACACATCCTATTCCACTAGAGACCAGAACAGCATTCTGAAGTCCAGAGATATGACCATCTTCCTAAAAACCAGACGGAAGTCTCCTACTCTACCAAAAGCTAGGACAGCATCCTGAATCTCAGCGGATACCCAACCAGGTCAGAGGCCACACAGACAGCCAGAACTCCAGCCCCTTATTTGGGCAACAAACCCCTGATGGATCAGAGGTCATCTAGGCCATCTGAATTCCAGGCTCCAATCTGGGCTGAGACCCTTTACTCAACCACAGGCCACCCCAGACAGAAGTACAGAAAGGAATCAGACATTAAGGAAGAAAATGCCCATTCAACAAAGAAAAACCCAGAATAGATATCTAGACTATGATTATTTTAAATCCAGATACCTAATCTTATCAGTGTAAAAACACAATCATTAGAGTACTACTCAGCAGTAAAAAACAAGGACTTCTTGAAGTTTGCAGGCAAATGGATGGAAATAGAAAACACCATCCTGAGTGAGGTAAGACAGACCCAAAAAGAGGAACATGGGAT